CGGGGAGGCAGGGAACCTAATCGCACTGATTGCCGGCCAGGCCTAGGGACCCAACCTGTGCAACTATTTCGTGCACCAGGCCTCTAGTGAGTAAATAATCGGTTATTGTTGGGAGCCAGAGCCCTCACTGTGGAAGAAGGGACAAACAAATAAGAAACAGGTAAGGCAATGAAGGCTCTGGGAACTGATGGGAGGTATCAGTGTGACCTCAGGATTTCTAAAATATGTGTATGTGTGTGTGTGTGTTTCCTAGTTATAGCTGCAAAGACACCCCAGTAGCAATGGACACCAGTGTTCAAATCTTGGTCTCTCACATCCTTCCCCACTAAAAGGAACCAGGGCTCCTTGCAGAAATGGCTGATTTCAAGGGTGTAAAAGGGAATTCCCAAGATGAGCCTGGAGCACCCTGTTATGCCACAAAGTAAGAAGTGCTAAAAATAATCATGGGGGCATAGCGAGGATATAGCAATCAGCTTAAAGGGACTCCCACTGGCCAAAGCTGGGATGGGGTCTGGGAATCTGCACTTATAACAAGTTTGCAGGTGGTGATGACGCTGAAGCTGCTGGCTCGGGGACTACACTTTGAGAACCACTATGCAAAGGTCAAGAAAAAGACTATGAAAAACTTAAAGTTGGCCCTAGCTGGTCTGGCTCAGTAGATAGTGTCAGCCTATGGACTGAAGGGTCCGGGGTTCGATTCCAGTCAAGGGCACATGCCCAGGTTGCAGGTTAGATCCCCAGTAGGGGGTGTGCCGAAGGCAGTCAATCAATGATTCTCATCATTGATGTTTCTACCTCTCTCTCCCTCTCCCTTCTTCTCTGAAATCAATATATATATATATAAACTTAGTTGGTCTCTAGGATTTTTCCTATATCATATAGTACAATCTTAGACATTAAAACTTGTCATAACACTTAGTCTTCGTTCCACTCTCCCTCCCCCATGTATCAATTAATCAATGTATGTGAATTTTTCTTTGTCAAGATTACATTTACATTCCATTCTACAACTATAACTCCTCAATTTTAAAATCTCAGTTTTGTATTTTAACGGACTCAGAGATCCTAACCATTCCTTTTACTAGAACTTTTGAGAAACCTGGCCCCTCTCTTCTGGGTTCCAAAATGTCCAGAACAGGAGTTGACTGGACCCAGTCAAAGGTGTACCTTACCCTTCAGACTTTGGCATCCAAAGATGGGCACTGCGACCTGACCTGACCTGGAAAGTGCCTCCTCCTGGGGGATCTCCCCCAGCTGCACTGAGGTCCTGAGAAGGTAACAAAGACTTCATCTTCCCAAGTGCTTTCCATGACTCTCCACATGGCCTTGTGTCCATACTTGGGTCTGTCCTCACCAAAATGCTGTCAATTGCGTTTCTTTACTCAGTGCTTCTAGGGGGATTGGGGAGGTTTTGTTGCATTAGCATCTTCTCCCCTTACCTTATCATTAGCATCTTCTCCCCTTATCTTCCTTGTTTGGTTGCTACAGAACTTGTGGCTGCTGCTTATTGAGTTGGCTATTTAATGGAGAAGGAGAGTTTCTGGTCCAGCCTTATTTCTCCTTTTTGGATCTGAAAACATCTCCAGACTTAAAAAAAAAAAACTATTGAAAAATATAGGGTTTATTGGGTAAAATGTGCTCCATATTATGCATCTACATAATTGTTATAATGTAAATATAATTTTTTCCAATAGCAAAAAAGTATATTCCCAAATATTTATAGTAGTTTTCACTGTGATAAAATTAGGGATGATTTTTAAAAATATATTTTTATTAATTTCAGAGAGAAAGGGAGAGGGAGAGATAGAAACAACATGATGAGAATCATGGATCAGCTGCCTCCTGCAAGTCCCCCACTGGGAATCGAGCCCACAACCCGGGTATGTGCCCTTGACCAAAATCAAACCTGGGACCTTTTAGTTCGCAGGCCGATGCTTCTAGCCACTGAGCCAAACCGGTTAGAGCAGGGATGATTTTTTAATTGAAATTTATATTGAGATAATTATAAATTTACATGTAGCTATAAGAAATAATACATGCCCAGGTGGTGTGGCTCAGTAGTTGAGTGTCGACCTATGAACCAGGAGGTCACAATTCGATTCCTGGTCACATGACTGGGTTTTGGGCTGTCCCCAGTGGGGAGCATGCAGGAGGCAGCCAATCGTTGATTCTCTCTCATCATTGATGTTTCTCTCTCTCTCTCTACCTCTCCCTTCCTCTCTGAAGTCAGTAAGAATATTTTTTAAAATAAAAAATTTAAATTAATGTTCTCACAAACTGGCAAGTAACTTCTTCAAGCATAAAGAACAACATTTTTTTTATTTTTTTACCAATAAACATTTCACAAACTTCAACTGGGAATGTAGAGGTACTAATAAGCAGAACACAGAAAACATAAAGAAATAAGATATTAAATCCTAAAATATCATTTATAATCCCATCCATTCTATCTTTTACATAGTAGATATTCGATACAACTGAACTTAAAATAAAGTTTGTAATATGTGCTTGCAAAATGTGTAATGCTGTAGTAGTAAAGTACAATTTCCAAATATGAGACTTTGTCAAAATTTTTAAAAGCCTTTAAAAATATGATATGCAGAAGCTTGCCCTGAGGGAAAGTAACGTGAAATATAGATTACAAAATCTTCACATATTTTCCACAATAGCATTTTAAAACCCTAAAACAGCCAACAGTTATGGAAAAAACTGAATGAACCAATTGCTAAAAATTCAGTGCACTCATAACTACCTGATAGAATATTTGGAAGCACCTTTTCTCTCGCCTTCTTAGATCATAATATGAAATGTATGAATTATATAGGCCTTAAGCCTCAGAAACTTAAGAAAACTTCAAGTTGCCGGAACCGGTTTGGCTCGGTGGATGGAGCATTGGCCTGGGGACTGGGAGGTCCCGGGTTCGATTCCGGTCAGGGGCGTGTGCCTGGGTTGCGGGCACATCCCCGGTGGGGAGTGTGCGGGAGGCGGCTGGTCGGTGTTTCTCTCTCGTCGATGTTTCTGGCTCTCTGTCTCTCTCCCTTCCTCTCTGTAAAAACTCAATAAAAAAAAAATATTTTTTTTAAAAAAAGAAAACTTCAAGTTATAAGTCAAAATATCACCAGGAAACAAATCTGGTATAAAATTTGCTACCATAAGGCCACTGTTTAAAGTTCTTTCATGTACAGACACTATACAATTCAGATACTTTTGTTTTTTATTACATAAGCAAAACTTTCAACATGTAAACATTTGAATATAACTCAGTTAAGTTCCCTATGAAACCATGCTCAGAGAAAAATTCAACAAATAATGCCCTTTTGAGACTTTTTGCAAAAGAAACTGTAGTTAATACAGCTTTTCAATTAAATACTTTACTTTAAGAGCAAGTAAGTGTACAAAAATCGCAGCATTCCACTACAAAAAATAGTTCTTTTATCAAGAAAGTTACAGTATTAGTGCTTTATTGTCAATTATAACACCTGACAGAGATGCTCTCAAATGTTCTGTAGTGTTGATTCCATTTGCAACAATTCCCCATTAAACTGCTGTGCCAAGGTTTGCATATTCCTATTGAAAGAAAACAAAATACAGACTTCAAAAGAAGCATCAGGTATAACATCTGAGCTAGAGTTTTGTTCACATTGCAATTTATAAAATAGTTTAATTTATATAGTACTATTTGCATCCTAGATCCCCACAAAGGTATGTAGATATTGGAACCCCAAACACGCAAAGTAACAACAGCACACATCAAAGTGGGTATCAAATGATGTCAGTAGGACAAAGAAAATACATGGCACTCAACCCACTGCTACTAGTAAGTTGATGGGAATGGTATTCTGCCATTGGGTGAGTTTCATTGGGGACATCCCTGGCAAAAAATAAAAATAAAAATAAATAGCGGCTCTTAAACTTTATTCCTTTAAGTACAGAGCCTGATTTGACACATGCAAAACTTCAAACTGGTATTTTATCTTTGTCATCATATGGTAACTAATTCTAAAATGATATGAACTCTTCTAGCGTGGCTGATATCAGTACAGGAAGCTATTGGGGGGAAGCTTTCTTGTTTTTCAATGGTTACCGACAACATAAATATATGTAAGTCTTCAAAAAACACAGAAAAAGAAATCCACAAGAACAGTAAGACTATGATTAAAGTGTAATGACCATAGATTCAATACTGTGATGCTATATAAAATATTAAATTACCAACCATGAACTGGACATAAGACCATGCAACTAATAGAAGAGCAAAAATGGCAGAATGGCATGTTTTTATGGCCCATTAAAAATATTAATGCATATATGCTTACCTTTTACTAGGATCTTACAATATTAAAACTGAAAGAAATTTAAAAGTTGGTTTATTTTTTGGCATTTATATTAGTATGCAAATGTTTAATTGCAAACAAAAACAGTACTGATAGAAAACTTATTCTTCTATTTTGATTAATGAAATATTCAAGATACGTGCATATATACTTTGTCAACATTATTCCTTTAAATAGAGGTAGATTTCACTGTATCCTATATCTTTATTCAAATATAATATACAAAATTATAATATATAAAAACAACTTTAAAAGAAAACTATAATAATTCTCAAAGTTCTTTCAACTGAAACACCTTGTTTATAAAATGTACAATTAGAGAACCGAAGATGGCGGCATAGGTTAACGCCGGAGATTGCTGCCTTGAACAACCAATTCAAATTAAGCTTCAAACAGGGAAGGGACAACATCCAGAAACACAGGAGGGCTGCCTGAGTGGAAACTCTACAACTAGGAGTAAAGAGACTATCATATCCAGACTCAGAGGAGGCGCAGTGCTGAAGTGAAATTCTGAGGTAACGAGGGCGCGCGGAGCGGGGCTGGAGGCGGCGCGGACGGCGGCTCGGAGGGAGCGGGGCAAACAATCGGGAGGGAGGCCCAGACTCTGAG